AAATCGAAAATTTCAACTTTTCTTGTTTGAAACTTTGTTTGCAGCACAAAATAGTATATCATTTGTAGTTTCGAAATATGTCAGTCCCACCGGAAACAAAAACGACGACTTCCGGTTATAAGAGAAAAACTACAAAATTTGAGTATTTTTCTTTCCCATAAATATTTTTTATAGATAAAGTATTTTTAATGATTTTTGGATATGTTATTCAGACTGCAAATGTCTACAGTAGCGTTAAATATCTTTGTAAAATTCACTTCCGGTCGCGTGATTTCCTGTCCTCAAAATGAGAACTTATCATAGCTAGATCTCGTAAACGGAAAAAGATTAAGACACCAAACTTACATATTTGGTAGATCTTGATGAGTAGGCAACTTCAGTTTGGATAAGATTGTCCGCCGTCACTTCCGGTCGTCACAGGAAGTGTTCCAAAAAATCAAAATTTTCAAATTTTCTTTTATGAAACTTTTTTGGCGTGACGTTATAATATCTTATTTGTATTTTTTAAATTTTTTAGTCCAACCGGAAACAAAAACGTCAACTTCCGGTTTTAAGAGAAAAACTGCATAATTTTAGTATTTTTCTTTCCCCTAAATATTTCTTATATATGACATATTTGTAACGATTTTTAGACATGTAATTCACACTACAAATGTCTACAGGAAGGTCAAATATTTTTGTTAAATTCACTTCCGGTCGCGTGATTTTCTGTCCTCAAATTGAGAAGTTATCATAGCTAGATCTCGTAAACGATAAGAGATTAAGACACCAAACTGTTTCAAGTGGTAGATCTTGATGAGTAGGCAAAACCAGTTGGGATAACATTGTCCGCCGTCACTTCCGGTTGTCACAGGAAGTGATCAAAGAAATCGAAAAATTCAACTTTACTTTATAGAAACTTGTTGCATCACATTTTAGCATCTTATTTGTAGCTTTGAAATATGATAGTATCACCGGAAACAAAATCGACAACTTCCGGTTAAAAGAGAAAAACTACATACCCGGTAATTTGAGTATTTTTCTTTCCCATAAATACTTTTTATAGTTAAAGTATTTGTAATGATTTTTGGATATGTTATTCAGACTGCAAATGTCTACAGTAAAGTCTAATATCTCAGAAAAATTCACTTCCGGTCGCGTGACTTCCTGTTCTCAAAATCAGAAGTTATCATTGCTAGATCTCGTTAACGGTAAGAGATTAAGACACCAAACTACTAGGGGTGGTAGACCTTGATGAGTAGACATATCCTTTGAGTTTAAGATCATCCACTGTCACTTCCGGTTGTCACAGGAAGTGATCAAATAAATCAAAAATTTAAACTTTTCTTTATGGAATCTTTCTTAGTATTGCCTGATAGCTTCTTACTAGTAGTTTCGAAATATGTCAGTTCCATTGGAAACAAAAACGACGACTTCCGGTTATGAGAGAAAAACTGCATAAATTGAGTTTCTTACTATCCCATAAATATCTTTTATAAAAAGAGTATTTGAAATGATTTTGGGCCATGTTATTCAGACTGAAAATGTCTAGAGAAACCTCAAAATGAGACCTTTGACCCTTACTCAAAAAGTAATAAAGAAATATTCATTACCTTTTTCTACATTCAGCTTCAAGTGTTTATCTCAAGTTTACCTTTCTCTCTCTCTCTCTCTCTCTCTCTCTCTCTCTCTCTCTCTCTGATGACCTTGACCTTTGACCTTGATAAATGACCTTGTTCTTTGGCCCCATTGACCCAAAGGTCACAATCAAGCTTACGGTCGTGGAGGTATTTGCAACTCTTACTCTAACAAATGCTTATAAAATATCCCCTCCTTTCTCTAAAAACAAAACAAAACAATCAATACCAACTTAGAGAAAATGTCTACAAGTCAAACGAAACGAAATATCGGCATAAGATTCGTAATAAAAGAAAGAAGAGACCTGAAAGAAAGTGTCCTGAGAGTTTTAAGGTGAGTCTCTGAAGTATTTTGAAATTCTAGTGAATATCGGCAAAATCTGCATTTTTTCTGTCTGAAATTAAGTTATTGCTTAGCATAAAAATTAATTAAAACTCGTATTGGATATTTCTGCAATTATTGTTAATATCATTCGATTCTCCTGCTTCATTACGACATTTTAATACCAAGTATTCTTGCTTTCTTAGGTGTATGGAATTTATTTTAATTTTATTTAGATTTAAATATGAATCGGCTGAAACTCGGAAATGACGATTTTTCATATCAATTAAATTTCCACGCAATTGAGATAGGTCAATTGCAGTTACCCCGCTTGATACGATATGGTGTTGAAAAAATGCCCATGACTCACTCACTCTTTTTCCGGGATTTTGAATTTACTCTGCAACTGACCACGTGTATTAGTTTCGCTTTACAACTCTGTATATGCTAAGTGTCGTTGCTTCACTGCAAATGTGTTCAATAATTATTCTAATCAATTTCCTACATACAATATCACATCAAACAGCCAATATCTCAGGTTTTTAAGAAATTTGACCGGGACTTTACTACGAAACTATTTCTTTCACTTCGAAACTATTTCCTTCAACCTTAAAATACTAAGCTCACAAAATACCTGAAATGTTGTGGAAGTTGGTGGCTCAGTGGTTAGCGTGTCCGACTTTCATACTAATGGTTTTGGGATCGAGACCAGATGGAGGAATTGATATATTTTTTTTTTTTTGCATTTTTTTTTTTTTTTTAAATAAAAAAATATTCTTCTTACAGATAAAAGAGGAGAACGGAAGACCTTATTTGTTGCTGTAGCAACAAGAGTTTCTAGTTATTCTTCTTCTTCTTCCTGGGTACTTTTTTGTCCGCGAGTGATCTTGAAAACTGTTCACCCGAAGTAGGTAAAACCTTTTTAGGGTCAGTAGACATGTAATGTAGATTTGCGGAACCAAGGTCATTTTGCGCGCACGTGCTTGCAAGAGCGCGCACGTGCAACACGTGAAATGACCAATATAATGGATATTGCTGTAACTTTTCTATTTTGTGATGAATTTTTTTGAAACTCATAATGTAAGGATACATTAGTAGTATAGACAAGATGGCATGGTCAAAATAGCAAGATCTCACGCGCATGCACGTGCGCTTCGCTCAGATTGGCTGAAACTAAAGTCTCAATATCTTTCTTGTTTCTTGTCATAATCTTTTGAAATTTTGAACATAGTCCTACATTATGAAGATCTACAGCATGATATATGAAAATTTTCATGAAAGTATGCGCATGCGCGTGTGCTGCAATCTGATTGGCTGAAACTTTAAATGGCTATATCTCCTTTGTTTTTTGACGAAATGCTTTGAAATTTAAAACATAGTCATGCATTAGGATATCCTAAAATATGATATAAAAAAACATTCATGAAATCACGCGCATGCACGTGTGCTGCAATCTGATTGGGTGAAACTTTATATGGCTATATCTCCTTTGTTTTTTGACGAAATGTTTGGAATTTTAAAATATAGTCATTCATTTAGATATCCTTCAATACGATAAAGATAAAAATTTATGAAATCACGTAAATGCATGTGTGCTGCAATCTGATTGGCTGAAACTTCAAATGGCTATAACTCCCTTGTTTTTCAACCAAACAGGGTGGGATTTAGAACATAGATAAATATAAGGGACTCCTACAAGAAGGTGTAGTCATAATGCACGTGCTTGCACGTGAAATGAGTAAAATTAAAAATACACTCGAATGAGTGTATTTTTTAATACTTTTGGATTAAATGCTTTGATATTAAGTTTATTAAAATTTTAGATAGTGTAGACAAGATAATATGGTCGTTACGCACATGAACACGCGTGCAGTGCCTATTTTGAAATATATTTTGTATTTTTCTGGGAAGACCTTGATTAAGTTTTAATTCCATAAAGTATTTCTTATTTAAAAGAGATTACAGGGAATATGGCACCAAAAGGGAGTTGGGGAGCGTTTGGGGAACATCTGTAACGGTCCCCGTTACAATTAGCACTAGTTCTAGATACATTCTGTATCCAATATGTATAGTTTATCCACCTCCCAACCATTTATAGTTGTCTCTACAGGCAATAAACTCGCTTGGAGTGAATTTTCAGTAATCTAACAAATAATTTTAATCAGGCGAGTTTATCACTTGTAGAGACGACTATAAAGGGTTGGGAGATGGATAAAATATACAGATTAGTTCAATAATGTGTCTAGAATTAGGGAGTGAAAGGTAGTTGATTGACCGCTGCTGGAAAGTGGAGAAATTCTCCCCAAAAGAGCGCAAAAAATATTGCGCCGTAAATTGCACCTTTTTTGCACAATGGGATCTGTAGCGTTATGGTCAAAGACAAATATATATAAAACCATAACGCTACAGGTCTGCAGCTAGGTAGGGTTAAGTTTTAGCGGACAAACACAGGCGAACGGAGAGGAAGAAATTATTATATACCCACGAGTCTTCGATTACGGGGGCATAAAAAGGACAAATTAAAAAAATTTCAAGTTAAACGGTTTTCCAAACGAAACTTTTTTTCACTTATTGCCCCCCCCCAACTTCTCGGTGCAATATGGTCAATTCAGGGTGATGTGTGAATTAAAATTTGACTATGAAAGAAGTTGGAACCTAGTTTTATTTGGCCTCAGTCCGAAATATCCGACGGTTTTAGGCGCTTTCACCATTTCAAAATCGCAAAAAGCCTGGAGATGTTAGTTATTTAGGACTAGGCCTAAGTCCTTTGTCTAACTTCTTTGTTCCACCGTCTGCAAAAAATGAAAACTCAAGATAGATTCGTTTGTTTTCCCTTGTTTTGTACAGAGACGTAAAGTTATCAAGTTTTTGTAGACTTTTCATGTGTACAAAATTTCGCGCCAAAAACTTTTCAGAGACAACGCCTACATTTTCGTGATGTGCTATATTTAAAATATTGTTTGTTCCAATCATTTCCCAAAGTTTAAGTCTTATTTTTTCAATTTTCTTTTTTTCTTGTATATTAAAACATGATTTATATTTAAAACGAAGAAATGAATTAATGACAATGTAGAGCATCGCGAGGGTGAAGGTCGAATCTATCAGGTGCGCGTGGAAGAAGACACCGGACAGTTCGATATTGAATAAAAGCAATGGAGAACTTTAAACCCTTTCCAGGATTTGGAACTAAGGCAACTCATGTAGGACAAGAGCCAGAAAAATGGAATTCTAGGGCTGTGGTTCCACCGATTTCAATGTCAACAACGTTTAAGCAGAAGGCACCGGGGGACCATCATGTTAGTAACTGGAACATAGAATAATTGGGGCGGATCAAAGTGTCTTGAATATGAATCTTTTTAATGATTACATGTATGATGTAGTAAAGTTTTTTATAACAGTCTGTCACAATTGTTTTTAGGGTTTTGAATACTCCAGAAGTGGCAACCCTACTAGAAACTGTCTAGAAGAATGCTTAGCAGCTCTTGAAAATGGCAAGCATGGTAGGCAAGAACATAATTAAATTTAATTGTGACCCAAATGTCAAAATTGTAAAAGTCATGACTTATCTCTGTGCATAGCATGTTTTATGTGATAAAAATAAACATTTTATGTTTATTTTGAGTGTAATATTTCATGTTACGTACACTTACTTTGAGATGGTGATACAAAAGTTGATGTTTTATTTCTATATGACTGGTTTATGGTAATACAAAGTTTATGTTTGATTTCTAGGATTGGTCTTTGCTTCTGGATTAGCTACCACTACTGCTATCACCTACTTGCTGCAGACGGGAGATCATATCGTCAGCATGGATGATTTATATGGAGGTCAGTCAAGGGAGTGATTGTTAAATACTTCTAGGGGGAAATATTGATAATAAATGAATAGATTGTGAATGTTGGATATCTCATCTATATTCAAGAGAAAATTAATTTCTTCCAACTGCCATCAAATTTTTACTTGCCAGTTTTAAAAAATACATGTAAAGTTATCAAACTTCCCATTGATCATTTAAAAAATAAAAGCTTTTTGTTTATTAATGTAGAAATTAACAATTTCAATTACACCAGCAAAAAACTGTCTTATCTGAATGGTTATGTGAGATTTTGCTGCAACCATTGCAAAAATTAATCATATGAATTTTATTTGAAAAATCTTGACAAAAGAGAAAGAAAGCTTATTATGTTTTTAAATATTCGTTTTAGGTACAAACAGGTTTTTTAAGAAGTGTGCCACTAGAATGGGTGTAGAAACTTCATTTGTGGATTGCACTGTCATAGACAATATCAAGAAGGCATTGAAATCAAATACTAAGGTAAATTATTGTTACAACTAACAGATACATGGTTGATGAATACAAAGATGCCACAATATGATTTCAGACATTATGGTGTCACACTGTGCAAGCAGTTGCAAGTTTTTGAGATTCATACAATATTGACTGAAATACATGTATCAATATTCTTATGTACATATTTTTTCAATAAATTGATATAGATTGCCATACATGATTGTTGAAATCAGAAAAATTCAGATAAAAATGTTTGTTCAAGGATATCAGTCAAAATTACTGTCAGTCTGCTGTGACAAAAGTAGAACACAAAACTTCATCATAAAGTTTACAAGTTAAAAAGAAATTAATGTTTTTGATGCCTTGCTATTCTGAAATTATTCTGAACAGCTTGTTTGGCTTGAGACTCCCACTAACCCTACACTGAGAATCGTAGACATAGCTGAGGCAGTCAAAGTCGTCAAACAGAAGAACAAGGATATCATTGTGGTGGTGGATAACACCTTCATGTCATCCTATTTTCAGGTCAGTATCCACCTTATTTTGTATCTAGAAGTCTTTAAAGTTTCTTATGTTTGTGTGAGCGTGTGTTGGGGTTGGGGTGGGGTGTAGACCTATGCTACTGGCTAGCAGCCAATTTAAGAAGCATACCAAACTGTACTCCTAGCTAAATTAGCCCTGAAAAAATAAACAAGCAAACAAGATTACAAATTATATCAAGTAAGGATTTATATTTTAGCAAATGCACCACATCTGTCTAGTTCAGAAATTATGAATAGTACAAAGTTTTTTTTCATTCAATTATTGTTTTCACTCAGTTGATACTTTTACCTAATTGAAATAAAATGAAATAAAAAACCCAAATAAAATGGAAATTTTCATGCATAGTTGACTAAGTAATGAGGAAAAAAATCCACCTTTACAATCAAATGAATCCATTTGTATAAATTATACAATAAAATATGTTCAAAACAAAAACACAACAAAATGAATGAAAGATTGTACTTGACTTTTATTTAGATCAACCATTTTTCAAGAACTTGTATTGTTATGTTTGGCATAGTTTAGGAAAGAATTATTGAAATTGATTTTTAAACATATTTTATTGAAACACGATCAATGTAATTGAACACAAGTTATACCAACTTAGACTGTCCTCTCCAACAAAAACTGAAATTAATGTATTTTATATTAATGTATTAACTATACTTGTTATCTGTTGACAGCGTCCTTTAGATTTTGGAGCAGACATGGTCATGCATTCCCTTACAAAATACATGAATGGTAAGTCAGTGAAATAGCATACCGTATAACGGGTAATTTTTACTGCTGTAAATTTTTACGAATTTTGGTCAAAAAAGGGTGATTTGAATTTTTACACGTTAATTTTTTACGAATTGAACATGTCCGTAAAAATTAAAATCATTAGATGTAAAGTTTCAGATCAGTGATTGTTAGCACTTTGAAAGCGTTTACATACAAATGTGTCCGAAAACCCGATGTAAGAGAGAGAGAGGGGGGGAGAGAGAGATTTATTAAATTATAACAATATAAACAATGCAACAAATTACATAATGTATACTTTTTTATCATTTACCTTTATATACATGAGCAATGTGCCCTTCATTTATACACGTTTTATAAAACACAAAGCTTCATGTATAGGCACACCACGTGCTCATCTGGTGTTTACCAAAAACAAACACACAACTCAAAGTATCATAACTGAAGTGAAAGTATGTACAGTGTAAAAAAAGTCGAAGTTTCATTCAAAGCATGTGAAACAGAAGATAGGGTCAAAGATTGAAAGTACGGGTATTATTGAAAGACCTGTAATTATTAAGTCATTATCAGAAGTTATGCGTCTCGTAAAAATACTGGAAAAAAGTAACCAGGTAGGTCTAATTGATTCATTAATGGACGATGTTTGTATAATTCATACAAGTAAATTCATACAAGTTAATTTAGATTTACCTTTATGAGCCAATTAATGATTGACTTAAAAGTGCTCTAAATACATACAGTACACTAATTATATAGCCTCCAGGGAGTGAGCTTAATGGCAATTAGCATTACTTTTACACATACGATGTTGAAAATTTACACGAGCCATTTTATAAATTATGTGAAATTTTACGCATTAAAATTTTACGGATTTTTAAAACTCGTAAAAATTAGCAGCACGTAAAAAATACCCGTTATACGGTATTAGTTTGAACTTCTCATTGACACTCACTTTTTTGTAAACTGTTTCTCTGAACATTTTAAGGAGACTTATTGAATTGAATTATATTCTACTGTTTTTGTCAGAGTTTTGCTATGAATGTCTATTTTAATTAGTAACATTATAACAGACCTGTTTACTCTTACAATTTCGCCGCATTTTGTACGGATTTTTAGTCTAAAATATGTCTCACGTTTTGCCATTATGAAAATACGGAAATCAGAAATACGTTCGTTTGGAATTTAACAGTTAGTTTTGTTGTGATGTGTCTTAGTTTTACGCTTTTTATTGTTTAAAAAAAAGAGAGATTTCAAACACATAAGCGATGCCAGATTGCCAAAACGCTGTGGTAATATAAAATGACAAAGACCATGTTGTTAAATTATGTTTTTGTAATCAGAAAAGCAGTTGTTCACTATTAATGTATGTAAAATTGATGGAAAGTGAAATCTTACTGGCAAATGCCAAATCTCACGGACAAATCTAATCAAAAATACTGAGAGACAATGATATGGGTAAACAGGTCTGTTATAAATATTTCCTCATTTAATTATGTGATTCATTAAATTGCACTTAATAATTTTGTTTCAGGTCACTCTGATGTTGTCATGGGAGCTGTGGCATTAAATGATGATGCTTTAAATGAAAGACTCAGGTTTCTACAGAATGGTAAATACTCTGACCATATACTGTAAAAAATACACTACATGTACTGGTATTTTACTGATTGAGATCTTTGATAATTTTCTTCAGCACATATATTTTATCTACCGGTATTTCTATGTATTTGTACTTCGATCTTGTCACAAAGCTTATATACTTCAAGAAACGCCACATTTGGGTAAATGTTAAGGGAAAAAACTGTTTTTCTGTAAAATATTTGACTGGAAATATATTATTTTAACATTTTATTATTCTAGCTTTTGGAGCAGTTCCCTCCCCTTTTGACAGCTTTCTTGTAAACAGAGGTCTGAAAACTCTTCATGTCAGGATGAAAGAACACATGAAGAATGGTTTGGCTGTGGCCCACTTCTTAGAATCTCATCCTTGTGTGGAGAAAGTCATTCATCCTGGTTTGTTTCTGTTCTGCTGAAAAGTTTGGTGTTAAGTTTCTCACTTTGATAAAAATTAAATTAAAACTATGGATTTTCTTTAATGATAAACATGGTATGAAAGTATGGGAATGTACCTTACGGGGAAAAAAAGTATATGGTACTTTAATAATTTAAGCATATAAGTTTAATGCTAAATTTTTTTTTCTGATGAAAGTTGTCAAAAAATAATCAAAAGTGTGGAAATTGATTACTATAATAATCACCCAGTGTTTACTACAGTAAATATAACATGATAAAAAATATTTCAGATAATAACAGCTGGCAGTACACAAATGTTTAGAAGTTTTATATTAAGTCTGAAGGAATTTAATGCTTTTATTTTTAAGGGTTACCATCGCATCCTCAGCATGAACTGGCAAAGAAGCAGATGAGAGGATATAGTGGAATGGTGACATTTTATATTAAAGGAGGACTCAAAGAAGCCTCAGAATTCCTTCAAAAAGTCAAGGTGTGATTTCATTAATAGTAAAAGCATCAGATTGGGCTTCAAGCTTTGATATAAAACATCAGACAGAGGTATTATTGGTTTAAAGGAAATATGTTTTATTTTAGATTTTTACCCTTGCAGAAAGTTTGGGTGGTTTTGAAAGTCTGTGTGAACTTCCGTAAGTTGTAAATTGTATTTTTGTCATTTACATGTATCTGCATGTTTCTGTAAATTCCTCCATCTGACACTGATTTTATATGTATTTCAAAAAATGAATGATTTATTACTTTGTGTATAAACTCAGGTCAGTGATGACTCATGCCTCTGTTCCTGAGAATGAGCGAGATAAGCTGGGTATCTCAGACAACCTCATCCGACTGTCTGTTGGGATTGAAGATGAAGATGATCTCATCCAGGACTTGGATCAGGCTCTTAAGGCAGCAGTAAGCATTTTGTAACATTTTTTACGGAATTAATTAAGATTTTATATATTTGATGCCAAGGTTGATCCTAAAGTTATGTCACTACTGCTATAAAAACCTTAATAATCAAACATCACATATTTTCAAATACTTCTGTATATTTGAATTTTGCCATTAAATTTCATTTGATTATATAAAATACTTTTTAAAATATTAAGATAAATAGAACAATAGAATATGGAATCCCTCAGTCGCCGGCCCTGCACACACAGGGAGTCAAATTGCATCATATTCTGTCAGTGAAGAACTTTACCAAAGAGCAGTTGCATACATTGTTTAACTGGGCTTGTCAGTTTAAGAAAGCAGTATCAGAGGACTGGCCTATAGATTACATTCTTAAGGGTAGGGTGATGGCATCCATGTTCTTTGAAGTCAGCACTAGGACCAGCTGTTCCTTTTCTGCGGCGATGCAGAGACTTGGGGGGAGTGTTATCAGTCTCGACTTCTCCATGTCCTCCTTACAAAAAGGGGAGTCCTTCAGTGACTCTGTAATGATGATGTCAGGATATTCTGATGTGATTGTTATCCGACACCCAACTCCTGGTGTCATGACAGAGGCTGCGAATTTGTGCAGGAAGCCCATCATTAACGCAGGAGATGGAGTAGGGGAACATCCAACACAGGCACTGCTGGATGTGTTTACCATCCGAGAGGAGGTAGGAACAGTCGACGGACTGACTGTAACCATGGTAGGAGATCTGAAGAACGGTCGCACTGTCCATTCCCTGGCTCGACTTCTGACACAGTACAGGGTCAATATCCGCTATGTGTCTCCTGATTCGCTGAAGATGCCGGATGATGTCAAACAATACGTGGCAGTAAGAGGGATATCACAGGAGGAATCAACTGCATTAGAAGATTTCCTGTCTGACACAGACGTTTTATACATGACTCGAATCCAGCAGGAAAGGTTCAGCAGTGAGGAAGAGTACAAAAAGGTGTGTGATCAGTACATTATCACCTCGGAGACAATGAGGAGGGCCAAGAAGGAGATGAGAGTTATGCATCCTCTACCCAGGGGGAATGAAATCCATCCAGAGTTTGACTCAGACCCACGAGCTGCTTACCTCAGACAGGCGGAGAATGGAATGTACATCAGAATGGCCTTACTGGCTAATGTGCTGGGCAAATGTGTGCCGGCCTTTCAGCCGGTTAGTATTCCAGAATTTTTATACTCAATTTGGTTTTTTAGCTCACCTGAGCCGAAGGCTCAAGTGAGCTTTTCTGATCAAAATTTGTCCGTCGTCTGTCGTCGTTATTGTTGTCGTTGTCGTTGTCGTCGTCGTTAACTTTTCACATTTTCATCTTCTCCTCAAGAACCACTGGGCCAATTTCAACCAAACTTGGCACAAAGTATTCTTGGGTGAAGGGGATTCAAGTTTGTTCAAATGAAGGGCCACGCCCTTTTCCAAGGGGAGATAATCATGAATTAGAGAAAAATTATTGGCATTTTTAAAAAATCTTCTTTTCAAGAACCACTGGGCCAGGAAAGATGAAACTCATGTGGAATCATCCTCAGGTAGTGTAGATTTAAGTTTGTTCAAGTCATGACCCCCGGGGTTAAGGCAGGGCCAAAATGGCCGATCAAAGTTTTACATAGGAATATATAGGAAAAATCTTTAAAAATCTTCTTCTCAAGAACCACTGGGCCAGGAAAGATGAAACTCATGTGGAATCATCCTCAGGTAGTGTAGATTCAAGTTTGTTCAAGTCATGACCCCCGGAGGTAGGGCGGGGCCAAAATGGCCGATCAAAGTTTTACATAGGAATATATAGGAAAAATCTTTAAAAATCTTCTTCAAAAGAACCACTGGACCAGGAAAGATGAAACTCATGTGGAATCATCCTCAGGTAGTGTAGATTCAAGTTTGTTCAAGTCATGACCCCCGGGGGTAGGGCGGGGCCAAAATGGCCGATCAAAGTTTTACATAGGATTATATAGGAAAAATCTTTAAAAAATCTTCTTCTCAAGAAACATTGAAACAGGAAAGATGAAACTCATGTGAAATTACCCTCAGGTAGTGTAGATTCAAGTTTGTTCAAGTCATGACCCCGGGGTAAGGGTGTGGAAAAAATGGCCGACCACAGTTTTACATAGAAATATATAGGGAAACCTTTTTAAATCTTCTTTTCAAGTACTTCAAAGCCAGGATTAGTAATATTTATATGAAATCATCCTCAGGTAATGCAGATTCAAGTTCGTTCAAATTATGATCCCCTTGGTGGTTAAAATTCAAGCCCCCCCCCCCCCCCCCCCCCCCCCCCCCCCCCCTCAGTAAACTCAGTTCTGATCTGATATGTGTTTTTTTCCGAGCTGATGTGCTCAGGTGAGCGCTGTGGCCCCTGGGCCTCTTGTTCTGCTTACTGTCTGTTTACTTCAGTATTTCTGTCCCAAGTTATTGTCAGGATTTCTTAACACTTTATTTATTTGTTTTGTCTGCTTCACATGCTCACATTGTAAGAAAATTTATATGCATATGTATTTTAGTCTTAGAATTAGTGCTTCTTTAATGTGCACATTGCAGTTTGTAATTTTTCACTGTAAATTAACTATTACTGTAATTGTTCTATTGATGTCCATCAGTTATATTATAAATGTATACTTGTTTAGTTTCACCTTATATCTCATTTTGTAATGTTTATAAATGAACAAAAATGTGGTTTAAGTCCGTTTTATTATGTTAAGCAGTCATAGTATGCCCATTTTATATTTCTAGTCATGCTTTTACAATATTGTAATTATGTCTTTGTAGCTTTTTACCATATTCATCATATGCGTTAACTGGCTGTATTAATAAAGAGGCAGCACAAATGTTAATTAGATTTAACATTATATTGTAGAATTTTAGATGGAATTTGGTATAATCAATGGTGCATATGTTAAATCTGCATTCAAAAACACTAGTGAAAAAATTGAAATTTTGCTTTTGGACTGAGTATCTTTTGATATAAGTACAGTAGATAGTATTTGAGTGCAAGAGAAAAGGCAGAGAATTCACAACTTGAACAATTCCTGTCTGCAAACAAAAAAATTAACTTAAAAGTTAAATCAATTCTAGTACCAATTATAATTGTGGAATTATCTGTTATTTTACGAAAGTAAAGTTTTCTTGAATCTAATTCATGCTCAATGTCTCAAGACTTTAAAGTGGAATGCAAGAAGTCAACATTTGTGACAAAAAAATTTTAATTATTCACGTTCATGATTCTTTTCCTTTGTGAAGTGCTAGCAGTCCTATTTGTTTTTGAATACATGTATTTGAAATGAAATACTAAAATGCTGTAATGAAATGGTATAAATTTTGATAAGCTTAATCAATGAAAATGTTCTTGGAATTGTTGCAGCTAGAACTAACATTTTCTCTTGCTTCTCTTAAAGTGCCATGTTGACTTTGTTAAAATTCTTCTTTATCAATTTTGGTACAACTGTTTCAGAAAATATTTCTGTTTGTGCATAATATGTAATAGACATTTAAAAAGTGCTTTCTGAATGGGCTGTGTAATATACTGACACGCAAAAGAAACGCAACACCCTACTTTAGGGGGAATTAATTATATATAGTAAGGAATTTCTTATCTAAAAAGTATTGATATCTTCAATTTTGTAAATATTGGTAATTTAACGAGTGAATGACATTCATACCATAACCGGAAGTCAAGTTTGAGTCTGCTTAACAGAAATAAAAAATTGCATGTTTAACAAACAATTGGTAATATTTTGGAGTTTTAAGGGTTTGTTACTGTTCATCATAAGTAATACAGCAATATTTCAAAAAGTAAATCCTCCTCCCGTTTCCCGTAGCGATGCTAAGGCTTCCTGAAAATGTCTTAAGTACGCATTGTCATTGCTGTAGCGGGAAAATATCAAAATTACTGTGATGGAGAGTTGATGATGCAAACAGTAACTACATTACGCTTCAACAGGATCTTACGTATCATGAGCAATTATGACAGTACTTAGACCGAAAGTCCAAGGTTACTACAATGCGCTAGGTTAGAGAAAATTCGACCTAATTATCTGAAAAACATGCATTTAAAAATGGCAAAGAATAATTCCTTCAATCACATCTCGATATTGATGAACCTATTGTATCGTAGGAATTAATATGCAAGTGTTCTGTAGGACAGTCTTGCACGTTTTAATTGAATGGCTGGAGGGGGGTGTTTTAACAGTCATATGTTATGTTCTAAAGTTAAAAGCTAATCATTTAACATTTTTATCAAATCTCTGATGTTTTGAATGGTGAGTTTAGCCTTACTGTATTCATTTTTGAAAATCATTAGATAAGAAATTCAACCCATTGTAGATTACTGTTTGTTGCGTTTCTTTTGCGTGTCAGTATATATGGAGATTATACTATACTTGGTTGTGATAAATAGTGTTCAGTGTCCATTGTATTCCAGAAGATGTTCATTCACATGTCTTTATTTGAGAAAAAAATTCTACTTTTTTAATACTATTACTTTTTCCAGATAAGATGTTTTAATGTATTTTTGTCTTTTTGATAAAGAATTAATGAATGTTAATAATCTCACTAATTTCATCAAAATGTTACACTGTACATGTACATCATTATCTGATGGGGATAAAATACCTTGATATTCAATTTGTGATCTCTCTAGCAAATATTTTATGCTAAAAGCAAGGATCAAAAATAACTTTATGTATGTTAAATTGTTTTTAAAAAAAAACCAAACCCTCATACCCCCCCCCCCCCAAAAAAAAAACAAAACAAAAAAAAACCCAATGACAACGAAAAAACAAACCGAAAAAAAGATAAATAGAACATAAGGGGATTGTCTATTGCCAAACAGCAAGAATGTTACCAAAGATATTACAATGTTACTTTTTCAGTTTTTAAAATTTCATCTGCATACCTATTAAACCTCTCATGGACTTCTTTTTTTAATAATATTTAATGATTTTTTTGGCTATATACCATCTTTTTTGAGTTGTAACATATATTACATAATTATAACATTGTCCAAATATTATCTCTAAATTCATTCCTTCTGTATATAAACCTTGTGTTTCATGAGATTCAAAACGAGTGTAGAAGAGACATGCCATAGCACCATACATTCTTGCTATGTGGTGATAGACAAGACCCAACCTTGTGTTTATTTTGATGTTTTATACAGTACTTGTTATATCTGAATGAAATTTGTTGAGAAAAGTCAAAATAGATAGAGGATTAAGTAATTAAATTTTTATTAAAAATTTCAATTATTAAACAGTTTATACCAATTGTGACATTACTTTTAGAGCAACACTCTTATTTATATTTTTTATATATATACATCAATTTATTAAACTTTATTTTAATATATAATTATTAAAAATATATATTGATTATATTACATGTACAATTTCTTTATGTACATACATGTATATTGATAAAGTGCCAAAAACATACCTCTTCGCTATATATATATACACTTGTTTTGATGCATGATGTTTAAACTTACGGGAGTAAGAAATGTACCTGTTTGTTAATTGCTGAAAATGAATGAAATTCTAAATTAATTGTTTTAAATAGACAAGTGAAAAAGGAAGTCCAGCCAAAAAGAGAAAGGTTGCCAAGTAATGTATTAAGAACTATAGGTAAGTATAAACCCAAAATAGATACTATAAGTCGTTTTAAATCTACCATGTTAAAATTTCACGATATCTCAAAAAGTACCAATTGCAATGGTTTTAATTTCACACTGCAAGAAATGCAATTCAAAATATCCTATCAGCATTTAAGTGTTTTTAAAAACTAATATTAACATTCATGCTCGATTTAATTTCATGGAAAAATGATAAGTCGCGAACATATAGCGAAATTAAAACCATCATGATTATTTGCCAATCTGCAGTATTTATTTAAATTTTGTTTTGGATTAGTTTTGTTATTAAGTCATTGGCAAATTTGAACTAGTTTTAATCATTTTAGAACATATAATTGGGAAATGATATACAAATGCATTGTCTTCCTTCTGTCAAGTTAACTTTTCTTATGGACTTGAACTCTAATTTTAAGACCAGCTAAACATGCATATTATATACTTCCAAAAAGTATTAAAAAATATATATACTTTATTTTATTTCTCAATGTATCGAATCAACCACCAATGTATCTCAATATA